GGCTAAAGATGAAATTAGTTATCGGTAATAACGCCAAGGAAAATTTCTTATTGGAGCCCGAAAAAATAAAAATCAACTTTTACAAAATGACATCTTACACATAAAAATTTTCAGAATTTTACCTGTGTTTTCACAATTCTTGTGAAATTTGACATTTATTTTCTCAGGCTCCCATGAGAAATATTCCTTAGTGTTATAATTTACAGATAACTAATTATATCTATAGCCTTTGAAAAATGTAAAAAAGAATGGGATATTTTTAAAATTATTCTGGTACAACATTTTTTTCCACTGAAAATTAAAATTACTCAATTTTCTGATTGATTCCATCTTAAAATGTGAAAAACTGCAACTACATGCACACTACATAATGTACACAGCTGTTGGCCAAGCTATTGTAGTTTCTCCACTTCATGACTTCAAAAAGAGGAACACCAACCTGCATGATTTTTGCTGGTTTCACATTAAGTCTTGTCCAGCAGTCTCTGTAAATGTGACGATAACACAGCTGTGGCACCCGTCTCATTTTACCATTTTTAGCCCTTGTCATTTCCCTCCGCCACAAATCTTTCAACACTTGCCATCCAAAGTTAACTTCGTAGAGGTCAAGATCTTTTCTTTGGGTACCATTTACTCTACGAGAGGAGTGTAGTGCTGCTGTAAGACTTTTCAACTTAAAGGAAAATAGGCTTGTTATTAAACTAATTGAGATCTGAATGACGTCATCAAATGTATTTGGGAATATCAAGAAGCTGTAGTTGATATACTAGGTCTTCCTTTGAACTAGCTTCCACAAAAAAATTAGGGGAATCAGCATACGTATAATGCATGCATGTACAAAATAACATCGTAGACATCAGGTTTGGCAACTTTAAGGATCCCTCTAGATTCTATTAAAAATACCAGTCAAACTCAATATTTCAAATAAAAATAGTTTTTGGTTCTTCTCATGCTGAAGAGATGAAGATTTATTCCTCTCCATATGAAAAGTTGTAAACACACAAGCCTGCAAATACATTATTATTATACAACAGTACAATGCAAATTTAAGTTGCTTTGTCAACAAAATTGAGTTGAAATACAGTAAAAATTTAACAGAATGGGTGATTCCAGAAAATATCCATACCCTACCACGGGTGGCATGAGTATTTTAACCCCCCCTTGCCCTCGGAAATTCCAAAATGCTTATCCCCCCCTTGCCCTCCGAATTCCAAAATCGCTACCCCCCCCTCTCCTCCGGAATTTTGTTTCAGACCCTTTGGAAGTCCTGTTCGTCTGCCTAAATCTTCAAATGAACGAGAAACTTGCCCTCCGAATTCCAAAATCGCTAACCCCCCCCTCTCCTCCGGAATTTTGTTTCAGACCCTTTGGAATTCCTGTTCGTCTGCCTAAATCTTCAAATGAACGAGAAACTTGCACTTTTTCCCTCTGCAAAAGAATTCTGTTCACAATTTTTAGTCAGACGATCAAGCAACTCAAGTTTGTTAATGAATGAAAAGTAACTATTATAATTTTTTGAGGTAAACCTCTCCCCGACTCTTCCAGTTCTATTGGCAAATATACGTCCGTTTAAGGATATCAGCTCCTGGATTAAATAGTTATTTCGAGGAAAAATAACTATTTAGAACTGAATGATCAAAACACTTGCGCATAAACAGTTTTGAATTAAACAGCGCATCAAAAGGCACGCTGTCGGATTTTACTACCTACATGTTGGCGTGAAAATCGGCATGAAATACAAAATCTGTCAGGCGTTCTATTTGGAAACGAGAGACTGGTGCGAGTTTTCAGCACGCAACAACACATAGTCGATCGACAATCGGCGAGAAACACCGACTTGGTTATATTTTTATGAATCAGTTGACTAATTCATCAACTTTAAGGCCTCTTCGATGTGGAGCTTGCTGCACAACCCATCTGCTTACCCATCTGCATGAACGCATACTTCTTCCGTGGTCAGTTCGTATACCTGCCAACTTTTTCTGAGATATAAGCGTGAGATTTTTATCCTGGGAGTGGTGGGATTTTTGAAGACGACACGATCATTTCCGAAGATTCCCGAAGACGTCCGAAGTCTGCCAAAGTCTGCCAAAGGCGAGCTCGCTCCCAGTGCTTTTCACTTCAAAAATCAGAGATGGCGAGGAAGGTATTGCCATTTATTCATTTTACACATGGTTTTCGTTCCTTACATGGGTCTGAGTTAACATATTTTTAGAAATTGTGTCAAGCAGGACTGCAACAACTCACATTTTTCAATCAGGCGTGAGAAATTGGCCCGCAGACGTGAGCAGGCATGAGATCGAAGTTTTCAACCCGCAGGCGTGAGACTCACGCCTAAGGCGTGAGAGTTGGCAGGTATAGGTTCGTGCTTCATTTACAAACTGGGAATGTTAACAGGTCAGCGATTTCAAGCGGAGCTTTCGCCGTCTTTCCTCTGGAAATGCACTGAATTCAGAGCTGAAACAGCCCCCCATGTCTTTGGAATTCCAAACTGCGTTACCCCCCACGTCTTCGGAATTCCAGTCCAAGAACCCCCCCCTCTCCCTCGGAATTCCCAGATGCCGCCCATGGTATGGTATGGATATTTTCTGGAATCACCCAATAGCCTGATGAGATGGACAAGGAATGAAAAATAGCTTTGCATTGGTCCATGGATTTAGCATTCATGTCTTCACATGATGTGGCTCTTCTGCATGGAGATCCTCGTTTATACCGTATGCCCCACTTTTTCCTGTGGTGAGGTACTTGATTGCCTTTAAATTTGTGCTGGCACCATCACAAACTACTGCCATGGTTTTAAAACCATAAATATGGAATGCCTGAATTGTTGTCATAAGGCATGAAATGACAAACTTGCACTCCATCCCTTTGCCACTGCTAAAGTATGGGCCAATGACATCAAAATCACTTGTCAAGTCACACCAAAGGAACTGCATGATGTAAGATGCTTTTACTGTCTGTGGTGCTTTCAGTTCTTCATAAACATCTTGCAGGGTTGCCATGTCGTTGGCTGTCGTGGCAAGCCCTGTAAACCTATCTAATTGAAAATGAAAATTAAGGTACATCAGCATTATACTGCAGGGGCCATACAATAATGGTCATATTATTATAAGAGTTTGAATTCAAACTAAAGCTGGATGTGATGTTTTATTATTATTATTCTAATTATTATTATTAATCATAATTACTATTTCATTATTACTCTTAATATATTATTAGTGTTATAAGTTCTGTTTTTTACATTTTTTTTTACTGTGTTTGTCTTACATATAGATCCTTATTGACCAATCCTTATAAGAGAAGAGAATTAAAACGGAATGTCTCAGACAACGGTCAAAGTATACAAAAATAACAATGCGTTCAGGAAGTTATTTTGAAATGACTTGCTAAAAGGCCGATTTATGGTGAAGGCAAATATGTGAAGGACATAGAAACATATTTAGGCTGGGGTGACAGAACGTTTTTTTGGTAGACTTGATGGGCAGGGGGTGGTAGTCCTAGAACCTGATGACCAAGTGAAAGGGGGGAAGAGGTTCCTGCATGGTTAAAGCCGGTGTGGCCCCTTGGGCTCAACCCAGCTGATGCCACTGTAAATGAAACAATACAGGCAGCAAAAATAATGTAAGTGAGTTGCAGTAAAGGCACATTGCAATATGGTCTTGCATGTTTCTTACCCATTCTCTGCACTTTCATTATCACTTTCACTTCATCAAATATTAGACCACCATACTCCTCTGGCTCTAAAAACCCTTGTTCTTTCCATTCTTCCTTGTATGCAGCATAGGCCTGATTAGCATCATGAAGGTGGGGAAGGTTTAAACCAGTGGGCTGTTTATTTGCTGATGTAAAATGTTTCAGTGATGCTACCGATGGTAGCTTTAAAATTTGGTAACTCTTTAATACCTCATAAGCTCTTGGACTTCTGGTAAATATCGCAAGTGCAATCCTGTATGTGATAGCAGACCATCTGTTCCCTGTTCTGCCCTTCCCTGTACATAAACAAAAACACCAAAACAAGCTCAACCACAATAAAACAATGAAATAACCCTGTCCCTGTTCCTTTCTCTTGTATAAAACCTTAACATGTCTTTTAAAAGAAAATAGTTTTTTTCTTTAGTTTGAGTGCGTGATGTCAACAAAAATTAAATTTATTGGCATAACATGGCATCTCCAAAAACACAATCATAGGAGGTGTACTTGACTGGTAAAACTACATAAACAAATGAACAATACTATAATTCGAGATTTTCTAAATGTGTGACTAAGAAGCTTATTACATGTATATGCTTCTGATGACAGGAGCAATTTGGCATAATGTAACGTTGCATGACCAAAACGGTAATAACAAACAGTTCATTTAGGAATTCAAAAATAGTATGCAAGAAAATCTTATTTTGATTTATTTAAAAGAACGATCTCAGGGTTGTCACTAAGATTTCAAGTTGCCAGGTAAATAAAACAAGTAGGTGGGGAATCAAACGGCTAGGGATTTCTTTTGGTTCTATTTTTCTTCTATTTTCCAATAGAAGTAGCCGGGGGCCACTCTATTAGTAGCCGGGGAAAATCCCCGGCCCCCGGCTCTTAATGACAACCCTGCGATCTAAATTAAATTTTTAATGCCTACCATTGCGATTTGGTCTTTCCAAAGTGCTTTTCTCTCGTCCAGATCCTGTTGCCATACTCGTTTCTACAAATCTCCACTTCCCTTCGCTTCCTCAAAAATTTGATCCAGCTCATTCTGGAACTCTGATGAGATCTTTTTCGTGATGTTTTCCATAAGATGTGATGAGTCTGCGGAAAGCGAGACTCGTATCTTCTTGTTAAGCCTTTCCACTTCCTTTGCCAGATGTCGTGCATCTCTCGTTAAGTTACAGTACCGCTTCTTCACACTTTTCGGGCTCAGAAACCTCCAGTTTAAGTTCAATGAACTCTTCACACGAAGTGTGTATCATACTTGCCCATCAAGAACTCAAACCCTTTCGTGCATTGTTCCTCTGATTTGCTACCTTATTTCTACTGAGTTCAAATGAAAACTATTCCGACGGCAAAGAAACAGAAAGTACTACATACAAACAGTGGTTATGAGGGCCCCACTGAAAGCCGCCTTGGCAAGTTGGGCTCCTTCTATAAATAATATTATTATTATTATTAATCCTGTGTTACCCCTCCCCTAATCCCTAGTGGACGGCCAGTAAGGGGGGCGGCGGCCCCCACCCTACACAAACCGACCCACCCCAGTCATCCGCGCACACCATGAGAGTTACAAATGCCCTTCATAGTGACTAAGTGACTTCCACCAAAACTCTTCGTTTGTCATTTGATCACCTCCATTCTAAATCTCTGTCTGAATCACACCCCAAATCCATCTCATTTGCACCATGTAACAAACTTCCGACTCTGTACTTTCCTGTAAGAGAACAGATCCAAGTAAAGTTTTCATCTAAATCCGTCTTGTGATCTTGCTCTTCTTTGAGGCATAACACATCCAATCCAATGTCATTATCTGGATCATATTTTCAGTCGGCTTTGTTTGGCTTTGTTTGTAGAACTGTGCAAACCTTGGTAAAAAACATCCTTTGAAACATTTTATAATGATCTTTTTCCATACAGTAAATTTCTTCTTCATTGTGTGTGATGTCATTAACTCGGTGATCATGTCCATCTTCCTTACTGTGCTCATCTTCATAACCTGAATCAGAATCTGATTCGCTTTCTTTGTCATCACTATCGCTGGATGGTGAGATAACTGGACACACAAGTATTGTAATCGCATTTCTGAATTGGCTGCTATGGAACTGAACAACGCACCTAATACAATATCATTTCAATCATACTTCAGGTCGACTTCTTCATTTCATCTTATAAGGTAACAAGGAGGCGTGAATGGAGTATCAGCATGCTCTTTTAGCAACAGTTAGATAACGTCCACTGGTATTTGTATAAACTATTAATTATAAAACTACTGCATAGAAACTACTACTAGTAAATGTTTTCTATCCTATTGTTGAGACCTGGAGAAGCTTGTGAGGCTTTGTAAGGAGAGGACCAAGACTCTGTTCTGTCTCCTTAAGATATCAGTTTAATCCTCTACAGCTACTGACAACAACCCTACTCATTCTGCTAGCCAACGCAGCGGATTAAATAGCCAAATTGTAGACTTATTGTGGGTTAGCTGACCAGGAGAGCATCTTCCGCACTTCACCTTCAATCCGGGAAATACTTAAGCTAACAAATTAACAGGAAACATTGTAAACAACTATGAAACACTTGTTATGGAATAGACTGAAGGAGCAACACCATCAGAGGAGTAACAGTAGTTGAAGTTTCCCCAACTGACTTCATGTCTGTTACGCCGCGAAATGTAATAATCACCGCAAAATGTAATAAGAATCCCCACAAAATGTAATACTAACGCAAAATGTAATAACATTGACGCAAAATGCAATAAAATTTTCAACACAGAATGTAATAATCTTTCAATGCAAATTGTAGTAACTTTTCTAACGCATAATGTAGTAACGCAAAATGTAATAATTTCCGAATAACGACTTGCATGCTATTTCAAAATCAGTATTGTTGCTCAGTCATCGGTAGCGAATTCAGATTTTCAATTAAATTATAAGCTATTATTATTATTGATATTAATATTAATATTATTAATAATATTTATATTACTATTAATATTGGCTATTATTATTATTATTATTGCTAATATTACAATGGAACAGTTGAAATGAGAAGATGTAATCATCTTTAAGGAACCGAATGGGACGTTTGTTTCCGCTGATTTGAACCTAATACAGAAGTAATATATTATGTAGCTCTAACTTCTATTGAATTATTGCACATTTTCTGTTAGATGTCTAAAGCTACAAAAGACAGAAAAGTTAGATTGAAAATTTGGGAAATGTTTCTAGAGGTGAAATGGGTGACTACTGGTGTGACTATTTCCCTGACTACTCAAACAAATAAAACGCTATGAGTAGCTATGAAATTTTCGTTGAACATAAGTTCAGAGTGCAAGGATAGAGCTAATTTAACGTTATTTATGTACATACGGAATCAGAACACCATTTATTATCTTCAAAGTAAGGAACGCAACAATAACCGTTTTTATTCGCTGATATTTAGGAATCGATTATAAAATACAATAAACCATGCAACTCAAGGCTCTCATACGGCAAAAATATAATCCTGTTCACAGCATCACATTTTTCCCTCATATAACGCAAGATGGTTAACGAAAAAAGAGAAATAGCGTATAATATGATAATTATGATTGTTACATAGGAAAACAGAAACGGTGATTAAATATGAACGGATGAGTTGAAGCCTCAAAGGGCATTAATGGTGGCTTTTTTGTTTCCAGTAGATATTGTAGTAAAAAACCATCCGTACCCTGCCCCACGACCTATGGGGATATGGAAGTAACACGACGTTTCAACCGTTATTTCATTAATAATAATAATAAAAATAAGAAGAAGAAAATAAATATAATTA